TAAGAAAACGATAGCACTACACTTAAAATAGAAGAATTTTTATTATTGCAATTTATATTACAGCCATAAAATGTTAAAAGATGAAAACTTAAAATTTCACTAATTCAATAATTCTCTCAATTTCTTAGTTCACTCTAGCAGAGAAACTCATCAACCTTCATTCACAATATTTCTATCCACAATGAAATGCAAAACTATCTTACTCTCTCTTATCTGTTTTTAGAATATGATCAATCCAAACTCTTAACAGTTTCAATCAGTGAACACAAATAGAAAAAAGAATAATCAGGAAAAAAAGTTGATAAGATTACCACATAATAATGCTACTTGTTAGTTTGATTACCATATTTTTAGATTAGTAGTTATAGTAAATATGTTTAGTTAAGGTTTGCGAGTATATATATATATATAACGGGTAGCGGGGGCAGGGAGGGGAGGGGCGGGGGTAAGGGTAAGTCTATCCCCACTTTCATCCCCGTATACATCCACCGTCCAATATGTATAGTCCATCTCCGGTCCAAACGGGGGCGGATTTGGACGAATACCCGCTTTTTCCCGGTCCACTGTCATCCCTACTCTTGGAGCTAACTATTGCTCCTTCTCTCGTTCACCTTATTTTATCAAAAAATGTCCCTCAGCTATCGTTGCCCTTTTTCGGAGTGGAATAGGTCACTCGAACCAAATCACTATATATCTGTGTGTTGATCCGATATTTACATTATTGTCACTGATCGCTCTATTAATTGTATCGTTAATTACATTTTATCACACATTTAATTGTTGATTGTGCATAAACCATTTTTGTGCACCATCATTATTATTTAAATTCAAGTTACATTTTTTAAAAGTGAAGTTAACTAATTTGATTTTTTATAACCAATCATGAAATATTGTGATGGATTATGAATAATCGTAATCAATTGTACATTCACTGTTAAAAAATTATTACTTCCATAATAAATCCTAAAATTTTAAAATTGGTCATATCTTTTATAATTACTTATATATTAAAAGGTTATCGGCATCGCAGTCTTCATGTTTTAAATGCTCTGTTACATCCTCGGTAAAGAAGGAAAGAAATATCCCTAAAGTATCGAAAAATTATTTTTTGGTATTATATATTTTTTTATTTAATAATATCTGGACATGTGTATAATTTTTTTTTTATTTTATTGAATACTGTGTATAATTTTTCCCCCAATCAACAGCTACAAACAAATTAAGACAAACTTTCACTATCATAGTGTTATCTATCCTATGCTTGTATTGGATTTTTTTATTAATAATATTAAACCTAATTTATTAACATAAATAAGTATAATCATTGAAATTGATAGCGGAACACTTTTTAGGCTCGTTGGAGGTTGTTAATTGAAGGAAAATTTGGAAGTCGATATCTCTATATGTATTTGTTTGGATTTAAGTCTACCAAAGAAACCTATTTATTATAAAATCTGTTTTTTTTCAATTTTACTAGACTATCTCATTTCTTTAAAAGTAAATTAAAACTAAAAATTAAAAACTCATAAATTTTAGGAGTTTAACTAATATTAAAATATTTTCTCTCTCATATATATTTATATCCATATATAGGTTACGATTATATTTTTCATAGATATATATAGTAACATTAAAAATAAAAAATAGTAACATTCAAATCCAAAAAAAAATTATCATTTAAATATAAAAAATAATTCTATTTAAACACAAAAAAATAGTAACATTTAAACATAAAAAAATAGTAATATTTCATATTAATATTTTTAAAAAATAACAATAGTAACATGTTGAACAAAAAAAAATAGTAATATAGAACACTTAACAAAATTGAAAATAAAAATAGTAATATTTTAACTCATAACCAGAGGAAGAAGTCTCTAAATTTTCAATATTTTCATTTTTTTTTTCAATCCTAATTTCAAAATGCGATTCATTGTTATTAAATTAAATGATATAAGTTTCAATTTTTTGGATCTTTTGTTGTGCAATACAATCGAAAAATATTTGATTGTGTTACTTGTAAGAAAAATTTGATGGTACTATGAGGGAAAAGAAAAATTATTTTTACATATTCGATGTCTTGACATTTACAAGTGTTGATGAGTGTCCTAATTTAACTGATGATTATGTGTTACTATTTTAAATAATGTAATTTTTCGATTTGCAGACCGTATTTTGTGAAAAGTAAGGAAAAATTATTGTTACTGTGAAGGAAAAAAAATTATTTTATTGATGTTACTGTGTAAAAAAATATTTTATTAATATTATTATGTGACATATATTCTCCTGAGTTTTGTTAAAGTCATTGTGTTACTGTGCATAAAAATTTGATGCTACTGTGAAGAAAAAAATAGATGTTACGTTACGGTTTACAATTTACAATTTTTATTGTGAAGGTTTGCATTTGTTATTGAACGAGGGTCTTCTTCTAATGTGTGTGAGAGAGAGAGAGAGAGAACAAAAATTTTAATTTTAATTTATGAGTAAATTAAGGGATAATAATTTTTAATTTAAGAAATTAATTTAAAGCTATTTTTGAAAGTATTTAAGGTTTCTATAATTGAACACAATAAAATTGTTAAGGATATTTTTGAGTTTTAAAAAAATAATGAATTTAAGTACTTATTAATAAGATAAAAAACGGATTTATTATCCAATAAATTTTCTTGATTGACTCAAGTCAATATAAGTCTATTTAGAATGACACAGTCTCAATTTTCGCTTGATTGAAAGCCGGGTTGCTCCTCTCTAGACCAGTGGACTTTGTTGGCAGGTCCGGCCCATGGCAAGTAGAGACATTGGGCTACAAGTGTAGCACGGGATGTTGACCAATCTTTTTGCAAGTTGCCATTGCCCATAGGCATGTGACAGATTTGACTGACCCATGACCCACAGGATCACCGGGCTGACAGTCGGACGCAAATTGTTTGTGTTTGTCGATGCTTAGTTATTGAGTTGGCTCTTGAATTATGTTATTTGTGTCAATTAAAATTTTAAGCTAATTTTTGTGTCACTTTAGCCTATTAATTATATAAATTTAATTAATTAGGCCTTTCGTCAAAATTCACTATTAATTTTGACATAAAACGTCACGTGCACGTCACTTGAGTTCGGAATTAAGGTAGTTAAGATGTGTACTATGAATATAAAATTTTCTGTTCAAGTTGACAGTAACTTTGGACTTATGATCTACATTGATTTAAATTGCATAGCCGAGAGACAAAATTGACACAAAAGTTTATTTATGAGCTTTATTGAATAAATGACATAGTTTATGGGCCATCTATTTAGTTTACCTAGTCATTTTCATCGTTCATAATTATATTAATTGAGCAAGGTTGTAATCTTTAGGGGTCAAAGAATAAGTGGAAGACCAAGTCAGAGGTCCTAAGCTCTTAAGAATTGAACAAGTGCGATGGAGGACTGCAAACAAATAATTTATAGTGGTTCATGAACTCAAAAGCTTGATTAATCCTTTCTCGAAGGAGTCACTTACCTCTTTAACGATTTTATTGATCAAAGGAGAGATTACATAAAGTTTTCTCTTAGGTTGGTTGCTTGTCCTTTGTTGTGAGGGATATGCCTCTTATTTAATCTTCGAGGAAATTGCCTAAACATCGGACCATTACGGTTTATGTGTGACATTTCGGTGGAAGTCAACTCTCATCCTTACTATTCTCACGAGGGTATTAATGTTGCTAGAAAAAATTGACCTAAACACCTTTTTCAGATCGCAGTGACATGCGCGATTTGTACTCGGACAAGATAAACTAAAAGTCCGAACTCAACATTAAGTATATTCTCGGTATTATCAAAGTCAATAAATTAAATCAGCCCAATTCCACCGACCCAAGCTCTGTAGAAATTTTCTGGAAAACGTGCTGTAGGACAATGTTGTAAATCGTTATCAAGTTGGAACATTGACCCGTCATTTAAGGTTTAGACAACTGCATCTGCTCCATTAAGGCCTATGTCTCCATTCCGTTCTCCACCTTCCATTAAAATTAACAAAGTCAATTTACTTTAACTGATTCCAATGAGTTTAAATCGTATGTTTGGTTCGAGTATAACATTAGATAAAATTGGACTATCCCGTTCAATCCCATTCAGCTCACCCTATGTTTGGGCTGAGGTTAGTATAAGCTATAGCTTCATTGATTTAATACCAGTGTCATATTTGGTGTATAGTTTGACTGGGTAATTTTAATTAAAAAACAATGAATAACCCCTTAATATATTATGCTTATTTCCAGATCTAATGCCGATCAGTAAAGTTTTTATACCATTTCAATTATCATTGACATTCATTTATCTCATATGGGTGGTGTTAAATCTATTGCATGCATCTATGGAGAACTAAATTATTAGTAAAGATGGGATGAACTTATAATATCTGGATATATTTATGATTTCAAAAATGTATGTTTTTTGTATAGCCTCATCTTTTTTTTTTAAGAGTCGTCATCTTTTTCTATAACATCCAAGTCGGAGATGGTGAACACGGTAATCTTTAGGGTGATCAAGTGGTTAAATATGTTTTTTTTGCAAACAAGAGGTTTAAGATTCGATACTTCTCGTACCCCCGTAAGGATAAATCATCCTTATTTCTCAAGTGAAATGTTCTTAAACTAATATGCGATAATCGATTCAAAATTTAAAAGAACAGTTGGCACAAGTCTAGACACATGTAGCAAAAAAAAAAAGTGGTGAACATGAACCAAACCCACCCAACGTACTACATCTTGTGCAGTCACTCGGGAAATCGTTCTGAGTATGAAATATCAATTTAGGAATTCTTTTTTCCTACATTATAATACAATATATTCAATCACTTCTTATTTCTTCCATCACATAGTACGAACAAACACATTACAAACAATCAATCATAAAATGAACACACATTTGTTTCAAAGCAGCCAATCTGCTCTAGTTTTGATCACCACATCTTATTGACGAGAATCATGTGCAATGTTTCGTCTTTTTTTTAAGGCAAACTATTTCTATCCATATTGCTGATAGCTTGGACGAGTGGCGGTGGGAGGCCTAGAGACATGCGGCGGAGAAGGGGAGCTAGCAGTGGCTCCCGCGGAAAATCCGCCACCACCTCCACCTAAACGTACACCTTCATGAGTTTGCACGATTTCCACAGCGTATGGCTCTGTTCTTTCTTCTTCATATCCCGGAACATAAGCAGCTGCCGGAATCATAACCTGCTTCTTCTTTTTCTTAGCCAAGCAGAAGAGACCAACTGCAAGAAATGCGAGGAAGAAAAGACCACCTAGCGAGACGCACGCGGCGATGACAGCCGTGTGGCTGCCACCGCCTGAGGGCGGCGGAACCAGTATGTTTGATGATGGTGGAAGAGAATTGTATGGTGTGGGTGATCCAGAGGATGGCGGGATAGTACTGAGAGGTGGTGCAGCATGTGATGATGGTGGCCAGTAACCTGGCGGTGCACCAGGAAGTGGTGGTGTTAATGGTGGTGAAGTACGTGTTTCCGGTGCAATGACTGGGCCATCAGGAGGAGTTTCTGGTTGTGGTGGCGAATTATACGGTGGCACGACTGGTGGGGGCAAATAAGGACCACCAGGATTTGGTGATACAGGAGCTGGTGGGGGTGGTATTGAAATTGGTGTTACTGGGCCACTAGTAGGGGTTGGTGGCGAAGCAGTCGGAGGTGGTTGAACACATTGACAAGGTGGTGATGGTGGTGGCGGCATGGTATCATTACATACAGTTGGTGGTGGAGGCGGTGGTGGTGGCATGGCAGGTGGGGGTGGAGAATAATATGGGTAAGCCATGTGAATGGTTTTGCGATGAGTCACTTTGTGACGATACCAAAAAATGCTTTCGTACCTAGCACCAATTGTTGTGGAAAAAGTCCGTCTTTATGGACTATATATAGGGCAAAAAATAACAAATGAGGGAGAGGTTATTATGACAAAATTATTACAAAAGGCGACCAATGTTAATATTTTATGGATTGTATTCTTTAAGATTAGAGCAATGATGTTGAAACCTAATTTAGTGATTTAATTTTTTGATTCAATTCATTATGACATTTGAATTGACTGTAGGCTCCATTAAATATTAGAATTTGGTGTTAATCTAATGATTTTAATGAAATTATGTCATTAAGTCAACAAATTATATCAGATTTTTATGTCTAAATAACATTTTCTTTAACATTAATACTAGTTGTTTCGATTCATTATCTAATCTTAGTTAGTCATAATTGGCGTGGTATTTCAATTTAATTTAAAATTAACTATAATTAATCTTCAACTTAATTATAAATTTGAGTGTTATACCTAGCTCGTGGCTTGTACCCTATAAAACATAAATATTTTGTCAAGATTGACGTACCCATATTGAATACTATATTAAATAAGACACTCGTTTTATACTCAATGACATGTATAAGATATATATTATACATATCAGATAATTAATAAAATATGTGGATATTGCGCGTATACTTTTAAATGTAGACAAGATGTACAATATTTAATTTTAATCTATATTATCTCCTTTCGAGTTCATATACAAAATTAAACGCCAACAAAATTCGATCTGGTTTTAAAAACAGGAGTATTTTTTAAGTATTATTTATTATTACATGTCAAGAAAATAAAAACAAATTGAGTTACGTACACTATAATCTTAAAAATAAATACTTATGAACAAACCAACTAATTACATGTGGTACTGATTCCTTTAATTGGTCGCTTTCATTTTATGAATATATCATTATAAGATGATATTACATCTTTTTTAATTTTGTTTACTACTACTAAAAAATTATTAAAAATTTTAATTTTTAAACCGCTAAATAGTAGTAAAATATAAAATATATGTTATTATAGACTTATCCTAATCATATTTGTACCTTTTTTAAAAAAATTTATCGTATCGTCATATATGTATCATACTCATATCACATATTCATATTCATTCTTCCTAACCTATAACCCTAGGTATATCTATATAATAAAATATAATACAATTCAAATTTCAAAAGATAAACAAAATGATTTTTGTTTTTCGTGGTTGAGATCTCTTTAAATTTTATTTTAAAATTAATCCGACTGTTAATATTAACACCCACAATTTAATAAGGAAAATAGGTCTCTAAGGGTGTGTTTATGATAACTTTTTTAAAGTGTTTATAAGACTTATAATTTCTTATAAATATTTGAAAAAAAATAGTGTTTGAAACTGTCTCACCACCACCACTATCCCCCCCATCGACACCCCCCCCCATCGCCCCACCACCACCACCACCACCACCACCACCACCATTATCATTACCATCGTCGCTACCCTATTATTACCTCTACCACAAAAATCACTACCACTGTAGCTACCCCACCATCACCACCACACTCACCGCCTCACCACCCCCTATCACCCCACCACCACCATCCTTACCATCACCATCCCTACTACCCCCTACCCTCACCACCACAACTGCTGCCGCCACTTTATCACTATCGTCACTGTCCCACCATCATTCTTACTACCGCCTCACCACCATCATCCCTCTCTGTCCTACCACCACCATCACCATTATCCCCAGGACTGACACCATCACAACCGATCGTAGTCACCCATCACAATCATCACCATTTTTCACTATCAGCACCACTACAATCGCTTGCTTCAACTACAACTAAATGCTTAAATTTATTTTTTTTTTTATCTTTGTAATTTAATTTTAGGTGTGAATACAAATATGTTTATTATTGATCATTTTTTATTAATACGTACCTTTTTTTTTTTTGAACGATAAAATAATGTATAAATAAACTCACGATGGCTTGAGTTGATATTGTTCAAAGTCTTTGGGTACATAGAGTACGCCAGTAATTATGTAATAAGACCACTTGCTTTCTATGTTAAATTTTAGTGAGTTGTACTCACATGGCTATGGGATCATCATCCTTGTCCATTTTTATACCTGCTTCTTATTCTATGTATGTAAATTGTGGTAGGAATGTTAGGGCACGCCACCCTCATATATTCACGTGCCCCAACTAAAAGTCTCAATTTACCAAACTATGATGATTGGCCACAAATTATTTGCTTCAATTGATAGGTACGAGTAAAAAAGATAGTTCAATACATAAAATTTTTATATTATTGATCAAATATATGCGGTCCTACTCCGCTGATAGAGATAATTATTTTTGCAATTCAGATCTTTAACATCAATACCAATTCAAGAGAAAACTTCACAAATGGTACTTAACCCTTAAACGCAATAATGTTTTTTTAGCGATGATTTATGTTGTCACCTCGCGTCAAAAAATTGTAAGTAATTTAGGTTTAGTGTTACAAAAATAAAAAATTAGTAAGCCAAATTGGCGACGCAAATTTTACGCACTGTAATCACCTTGTCTCATGTAACATGGCCAACTAGGATGTGTGAAGTTGCCACAAGATTTCTTCAATGGCAAACTAATCCAATTCTTCTCACCAAGGGACGTATTATTTATAAGAGCAATGTTACTTGAAATTAAGATATTGATATAATTTGTTGACTTTATTAATCATTGTTATTGAAAATATATATGAATTACTGTTATTAATTTAAATGTAGGTTTTAACATTTATTATGATTCATTACTTATTAAATGATTGTAATTGATTAAGTCAACAAATTATATTAATATTTTAAATCAAAATAGCATTTCTCGTTATTTGTGAGATTAAATAGAACCCACTATTCACGTGATCCAGAAGATCTGTCTAGTTATGTACTGGGTGAACATCATTTGCTTAAATGAGGTTGAAGTGAATTACAAGTTGTTTTGTCTACCCATGATTGCTTGAAGCTTAAAATTTACAGATCATTGTCCTGCACCACATGTGTTTGACTGCCTCTCCAATGCCACTCTGTTTATTGATTTGAGATCACAGAAGAATTGTGAAAGAAGTTTTGCAATTATTTTATTATTACTTCATTGCTAAGTGTCCAGTCTAATTAGTTACCATTGATTCTCCCAAAGTTTTGGTAAACCATGAAACCGACGCTTTTTTTTTTTAAGATTAAAAAATTGCATAAAACAATGATACTATATTAGTATTGGCATAATCACCAACTAATGATAGACACTAGATGGAGAAGGTAACATCACTTGGATAATTATTGATTTACATGGAGAGATAGTTATTAATTTGTATAAGGTGTATTTTCTTATTTATTTATATATTATTAATTTGTGATATTACGTAACAATACTGATGTAGTATCACCGTTATAATGAATATTTTTTCTTTTTTGAGAGCTCTAGTGAGCCATTTTTCGGGTTTTTGTTCACATCTTTTTTGGTACTTTCATTTATACTATATTTATACGACTAAGAAGTTGTGATATTTGGTTCATTGTAATTGTAATATACGAGTGTCTCCCTCACCATAATATCACTCCCCCCCCCCCCCCCTGAAAGTATCTTTTACTTTCTAGTAGAGTTACATAATCAATAGGCTACAGCATAAAAAAATGTCAACTTGATGAAGGTTCATGTACCGACATTTCGAGTCAGTCTTTGAAATTGTATAGGTATTTATAATTATGACTCAATCGTAGGACAAAAATTACGTACGTCAGAATGTAACTATACGAGTCACAGTCTTTGAAATAATGAAGCCTTTTATGCATATATAGCTTTACAGTAGGACTGAAGTTGCGTGTGGCATACACGAGAAAATATTCCATGCTTATCGGGTACCAAACTGACACACACAGCTGGTACTCAACACCAATAAAACATTGCCACTTCAATAATGTGTTAATTACTGTCAAAAGGTTTCTAAGTCAGCTATTTAAATAGATTTTTAGATAAAAAAATTTTTACCGTTATTTCTCTCTACTATCACTTTTTCTCTCTCCTAAACGAAAGATTCAAATTTCCAATCACTCGCCATAGTTTTTGAAATTTCGGATTACCAATATAAAATAAATTAGCAAACATTATAAAATATTTCCGCATTGTGTTTTATTTTTTGGTTTCTCTCTTCTATGCGGTCCACCATTTTTACAACAATTGTCCATTGAATATATTTTTTTTCTTTTTGTTGGAGCTCTCTAGTTTATGCCTAAATCTAGAACTGTCAAAATTTGACACGACACGATTAAATGATTCGAATCGACACGAATTAAGCGGGTTTGAGTGAGATGTTAACGGATTGACACGAAATAAACGGGTCGTGTTCAAGTAAAACCTGTCAAACTGTTTATCACACGTTTATCCGTTTAAATAAAATTAATATAATAATAAATTAATAATTATTTAAAAAAATTAGCAAGAAAAAAAGAAGTAAATAAATCAATAAAAAAAAAAGAAGTAAAGTAATAGTTCAAAAACAAAAGAGAGAAGATGAGCAGCACTTCAAAAACAAAGGCAAACTAATGCCTTTTATTTTTGTCTCACATTGAAAAATAAGGGGAGATGGGGAGGGTTGAGCTGCCTATAAAAAATAATTGTCTCTTGCTTTGTTTTTTTAAAGTCTTCAAGTCTTATTTTTATGAGATTTGACTAAAAATTTCTCTTTTTTAAGGTAAGTGCAATTGACAATAAAAAAAAAGTTGAGTATTAAAATTTGTTAATATAATTTTTTTAAAATTAAACGGGTTAAACAAATTGTGTAGTGTTACCCGTTTATTAAACGGGTTGTGTTCGTGCTAAAATTTTTTACTCGTTTATTAAACGTGTCGTGTACGGGTTTATATATTTTTCACTCATCACCCCGTTTAACCTCATTTAACTTGACATGTTTGACACTCCTATCTAGATCTATACCTGATAGTGTTTTATTCTATTTTTTTATACTTCCACCATAACTCGGGGTACCAGTTCCAAAAAGAAAGTATATCCATGGTTGCCGAAATTTTGAGTTGGAACACCATCAAAGCTTTAATGGTGTGGACGAAGAGAACTTTTTTTTTTTTCCAACAAAATGAGTAGGAGAATTTGGTTGTGAATAGTTTTTTTTTTTTTTTCTGAAAGAGTTGTTTTTTTTTTTTTTCTGAAAGGGTTGTTGGATACTTCGATTTCCTGAGCTAAGCTTACATTGATATGGTGTTAGTTTTTTTTTTTTTGGAGGGGGGGCGTTGATCTGGAATTGGTTAGCACTATTTTTTCCTGTTATGTCTCTGTTTTTTGCTTCACGTCGACAGTTGCGTATCTCAGGACGGTGTATTTCATCTCTTACCTTCTCTCTCATTCAATGGAACTTTCTTGGGTTTAACTTTCTACACCAGTACATGCATGTTTCATGTGTTTATATATGCATAGATGGGTGAGATGTATTAGGGGTGCAACTCGGGTGGGTTGGCAGGGTTGGACAATAAACTCTAGTCCAACTCTAGGTTATAATCTTCAACCCTAACCCTAACCTTAACCCTACGTCGGGTTGGGAAACTCAATCCGAGCACTGCCCGAGTTTAATTCAGACGGACTTGGGTTGAATTCGGGTTACTTTACGGATTCAATTCAGATAGAGCTTAAAATAGGTTTGTTGTTCTAAATCTAATACATATATTACATAATATTCACCTAAATTAACAACCAATAACTTCAACCAAGTTTTAAACGAGAGAGACAAAGAGAACGAGAAAGAGATAGAGAACAATAGAACAAAAATGAAAAATCAATGCTAATACTTTATATATATATATAATTTTTTTTTAAAATTTGTTGGGTGCGGGTTGAACTCGGGTTCACGAGGCCTTAACCCGAGCCCAACCCAAATTGAATTCGGGTTAGAGTTTTTTGACTCAAGCCCAACCCAAGTGTTAAAAACTTTTGTCCAAGTCCTAATTTTTTCGGGTTAGGATCGAATTGAAATCGGGTTGCCCAACCCAAGTTGCACCCCTAAGATGTATGAATACCATGGTGAGACATATCACCATCTAGTTAATAGATGACAAGTACATAATAAGTTATTTAGATAATGTCCCGTTAATAATATAGAAACCTAATAAAAAATAAAAATTCATCAATTCACACATACCAAAATGCAAATTAAAATGTTAAATATTATTTGAAAAAATATGCCAAATTTTTCAATAAATGACTCATTTTCTTTAAGAATTAGGAGATGTGTACAATACTAAACAAGAATTTAATTACTATTTCCATTTACTTAAAAATTGATAAGGCTCCTTGGTTTTGCATCGGCTCTTAGGAGAGATAACAGAAAGAACTGTCAACTTTAAAATGCCATTAACATTGATGAGGCTCCTTGGTTTTACATTGGTCATTTATTGAAATTATTCCTTTCCCCTAAAACTTAATCAGCATTGGCCAAGTCAATTTAGAGTTGTAATATTAAGTTTCAAAATTTGGTGGATGGATGACAAAGTGGTGAGTTTGTTGTTAATGTAAGAACAGATTGCCATTGGTAAGGGTTAAGAGTTTGGTGGTTTTTGATGATAAAGGTTAGGTGTTTCCTACCTTTGTCACAATCGCTGCTGCTGAGTTTGGTTTTGGATAGGGGTGGATGGTGCTTGAAGGAATAATTCTTTATATGCTATTATTATATTTTGAAGGATTAAAGTCATTTAAAGAAGGTTTAGGTGGCTATGGCCAATTTGAAATGAGAAGCTTGGTGAGTAGGTTCTAGTTGCTAAGCTGATTCCAACCAGGTAAAGGCTGTTTTGCTGTTTTGCTAAGGCTTTGATAGTTAATCGATAAAAAAAAACTCATCAATATTATGCTTAATCTTACAAAAAATCAGATTTAAGGTTGGAACAAAAACTAACCTTCAGATGTGAATAGTTAATAGTTATATTTTATTTCTTGCATTGTGTACATAATCACAATGGAACAAACCCACAGGTTTTTGATATTTACATTAGAACCCCACCACCCATCATCGGCAACACGCACCATACCCACCCCACGCTCACACCCACTACCACACCCTTCAGCCATCAGCCTCACCT